GGGATATCCTAGAATACATGGCCAGGAATTCGTACCACCTGTAGGTTATTCTTCAAGATGTCTTATGACTCAATGGATGAGGTCAAACCAAGAAGCTTTAATAGTCTAATAACCCTCTCTGGGTCAAAGAATAGGTAGACTAACTGACAAGAGTCATTAATATTAGTATAAAACACATCTATTACGTAGATTGATGGTATATTCTATATCTTAGAACTGAGAATCCATCAGTCTAGTAGTGGACGTTTCCTACCTTTGATGTGAAGAGAAAAAACTTACAACAAAAGATTCTCGGGACGAGAGAAACTATGGCAGGTGTTTTGTTTTCTCCAGATTAAGATATCAAAACATTTTTAAACGTCTGTTTTGATAATTACCATTCTTATGTAACTTGAATCATTTTCTTTGTGTGATGTAGAGCAAGAAAATACTGACATTAAATACATATGCATCCAACGTATAATGCACTTTGTATAATATGCAAAATTTCATCTTTTTCTTTTAATAAATATTTTAATGTACTTAAGTAAATAAGTTAAAGTTCTTTAATAAACTATTAACAAACAGTGGCTCAACAAGATGAGAGATGGTCCGTGGACTTAAGTGGGTTGGGGCTCCTTCTACAGGACATTGTTTTTAAATATGCTTTCCTTAAGTTTTATCTAGGGGTTGTGGTTCGTGGTTCAGCCAGTCACTGAGGTAGGTGAGCCATTGTAAAAAAAACGAACTTTATTCGTAAAGCATTGTCCAAATACTTCCAATACGTCAATGTCCTTAAGTTAACATATAATGTTCGATTTGTAACAAAAGAAAACAACAATCAGAAGTATTTGTACAAGAAGCCAAGCCTATTTTTAAAAATAATTCTTTCAATTCAAATTCACTCGTGATATTGACTTTCATTACAGGGAAATTATAATGATAGGCTTTTCAACAAACGATGGTAATAGAAAAAATAGAAAAAAAAAACTCACAAACATGATGCACAACAATGATGAATGCACACATGATGAAATGTTACGTTACCATTAAATGTCAGTTATATTTTTAGAAAATAGCCTCAGATATTTTACCACTTTCATGGAATGAAAGAAGGATATAAATGCTGTTACATCCGTATAACGAGTGATAATTTTAATGCTTAATACATAGTAAGTGGGAGAACATCTGTAGGAGTGTGAAAACTCTTGTGACCTTAAGCACAATCGCTCTCCTTATAATAATGTGGATTCTTTCACACATAATTTCTTAAAGAGGGGTATTCCTGTAATTTTTCTTTGAACAGTTGATATTTTTTAAGCTACCAGAAGCACGAGCTAGAATGATACCAGGATACCAGGATTCATAGTTTGTCTACAATTAAAATCGCAATGGCAACCGCAATCAGTAGCTTCGATCAAACGTCGTAATATTTGAGATTCCTCAGATAATTTTCTTTTCTTAATCTTTGTCTGCAATCCTACGATCTAAATATTCACTTCACTAGTGAAGATATCAAGGTATCAAGAAACTCAAATTCACATTCAAGAAGGTTATTTCTGTAACGTTCTTGGTCAGAACAAATGTTATATTTCGTACAATTTCCGCCCTTTCAATGTTTTCAAAAATATGAAAAAGTCAATATTTTCATTGATTATTGAATGTTGTGTTTTTGATGGAATACAATGTAATTGCAATAATCATGGACATTCAACTATCCTACTTTGGAACACTGGATTAACCTTGAATACAGAAGCTTGTGGAGTAATTATGGTTAGAGGACCTTAATCCTTTAAGAAACTTATTCAACTGAATGTTAGTTCAGTTTAGAGTACAAGAGCGGATCGTTTGTACAGTGTGATCGGTTTGAATGCCCATTTCACTGAAACAGACTTGACATATAACATCAACAAAACAAACCAGAATTTATTACGTAAGACACGAACATCTTGAAACTCTTCTAAAAGAATATTGAGTAACAAAATTAGCCCACCACTTCAGTATAACTTTGGAAAAGGTCATATCTATTTACACTTCTCAATCTAGGTAGGAAGCATTTGGCTTCTTGGTGAAAGAAAATTCCTGTATTATTGAAGAAGTACTGAGAATTGCTGTGGCTTCAAACAAAATCTTTTTGCTGGAAAATCTGAGACAACCATTCAATGACTTTTCAAGGACAAAGTATGCTTCTAGATCGAAAGATCTGTCTCTATTCCAGCCTCTGATAGATATTTGGACATATGTCTGCTGGAAAAATAAGCCCTGTTAAGTCATTAGGATATTCCGCATATCCGCAGGCGCGGGGGGCTTTAAACCTATTTAGATACCACGGATCTGCAAAACCAAGATATATTTGGAAAGATGAATATTTTTGTAGGTCAGTCATACGATCATTTTCTACCTACACCATTTATGTCACGTTTCCGGTTCCATCGGCCAAAAACTGCGTAGGCCTACGCCTAATTTCAAAGGTCATCGAGTCACGTGATACTAACAAAACAAAAGTTACGGTGATACCCAACACTAATTTAAAGGTAAAGATAATTTGAAATTGTGTTAGAAAAGACGCATCTTCGGAGGTGTAGAAAATCCCCATTAAACAGGGCATATTTTTTCTGACGCTACTCTAGCCAACAACTGTCAAAATATCCATCAGAGACTGGAATAGAGGCAGACGTTTCGGACTTGTACGCTTCATACAATAACGTTGATGCTTTTCAGTCCACGAATGCTGCAACACTATACAACATGATGCATGTGTTGTCACTTGTATGAGACGTTATTTCAAGAGTAAAAATATCAAAGAATATTCTATCCTATCCTAATCGACACTGATTTCATTTGAGTTACTTGATATTAAGAATAATGAAACTTGGTGAAACACCGATCTAGTCTTTGATTTACTTGAAAATAAGAATACAGAAACCTTGGTGAAACACTGATCTAGTCTTCGATTTGCTTGACAATACAAGAGAGAAAACTTGGTGAAAAACTGATCTAATCTTTGATTTACTTGACGATAAGAATACAGAAAACTTGGTGATCAAAGCTAATGTCAATCATATGAAGCTTCTGGACAGATAAACATAACTAATTATATAGATCCCAGTATAGACTTCAATAGAATCTTAATCATTAAGATCATCAACTGTCCACTGACTATTATCATTAGTTGATTACTGTTTACTTATTTTATAGTCAAGGTCAAGCAGTACATTACTATTCAAGCGTGTTTCCAAAGATCCAAATAAAGACTTTAATGCCGTCGAACACATAATGAAGGAGGCAGCCATTCTGAACGTCACATGATATCAGAATCTAGTCCGATTGGTCTAGGCCGCAAAATACACCGAACACAGGCAGATGAGCGAATTTAAGTAAATAATCGGCCGAAAATTTTTGATGACGGGGAATCATACGGCCATAAAAAGTCGTCGTCGACAGGCGCCTGCACACAGCGTATTTTTTTGAGCGATTATAAAATTGGTCGCGATCGGCCGATTAAATACGCTCTACCCCTGCAGTAGAAACATAGAATACACACATAATTATAGACACATATATTCATAAGTATTAACACGAATCATGACTGACTTGCCGAATCTGACTGTTAAATGTATTTCACATCCGCAACAAACAAGTAGTCTTTTAATGAAATTAAACTGCTGTTTTACGTCACGTTTTGTACCGGATTGTGTTAATACCTGTCAATACTACACATCTCAGCTACATCACTTTCTTTCAGAAATGTTCTGCTAATATATGTACCCAATTTTGTTAGGTTCCAACTTTCTCTCGGCCTCGTGAACTGCTTTTGTTGCTGTCTATGTCCATCCTGTTCGAGCCCTTGCTACTGCTGCACCTTGTCATCATCTAAGCCCCTCACAGTCATGATCCATCTCGACTTCTCGGTTTTCATTTAGGCTTATGTTCTGTAAAAACCTATTTTACCTTAAAAGGCACTAATGCCATTTTTATTAGGTCGTTAATAGATTATCTTAAATTATCTTAGTAATGAATAAATAAAGATAGATCATCAAGACAAGATATGTTCTTGTAAAGTTGTAAGAACCAATAGGCTTACTTATATTCCACCATGAACCAATATATAGATATATCTATAATTAAACGATGGCCATCATTTTGTTTTGTAGTCATATATAAAACCAGGGTGGTATATTTTATTGTGAATTAAGTAATTGCCTGTATTATGAGGGTTATAAACTATTCCTATTCCTATAGTTGATCTTAAAGAATGGAAGGAACGTAATGTGGCCATACTTGCTTATCCAAATAAATCGCTTTAATCACATCAATAAATATCCAGAAAATAGGACATGAGCAAATAAATTGTGATGGCAATGAAAAATGGTGGCAGTAATATAGAGATATATTTGTAATTGAGTGCTATAAAGTCCTCATCGGAACATCAGAATTCGTGACATCGCTTTTATTATTGGCAATTACAGCAGCAGTATTGACAAAGACCACTACAATAACGATTCATATATAGAAAACCCCCAAATATATGCTTAGAGATTTTGAAATATATTGATCGACTTATTGTCTGATGTTTAGCGGCAATATGATGCACATGAAGAAACAAAAATGATCCCCGTTATGCTACCTCCAGATCAATGTCATCATCCTGTGTGCAAATGCGTGAAATGAGTTCGAGTGCCAAGCCATATTTAGATTATTATCGGATATGTTGAGATCCATAAGACTGTGTCTCCATGGCGAAAAATAATTATGGAATTTGATAAGGAAACAGAAAAATATCACACGTATCATTTCAGCATTTGGGCGGTTGCACACCAACTCCTCCAATGCCATAAACCAATTGCATTCGTTGAAAAGAATGGATATCATTGAAGGGGAATAACACTATTTGATCAAGCCAAATTCTTCCAGAATTTCTCGATGGCAAATGAACAGAAGACGTTTTCTCTACCATTAGTAATGCCATATACACTCAAATATACTGGTCAAACCATGACGATATATGAAAAGTCTGAAAAAAAAATCTTTAACAATTTTAATTTTCATAACAATTAACAAACTAAAATTGCATTAGAAATTGAAATTGAACATATCAAAACCCAATAACAAAATTATTCTTTTTCTTCTTTTTTTTACTTGATTTCACTAATATTGTTGTGTTGAGTTGGGTTGAAGTTATTTCTGGTTTAAAAAACTTAAATTTGGATGGACTGTTACATTCAAAAGCATCACATGCCTGATTAATAGGTGAATTAATAGAATTATGTTTGAAGTCTTCGTCCAACTGTTCTACAGCAGAAACTTTCACAGAATCTTTAATATTTTCCTTATTAACGGTATTGAAAAGGTTTCGTTTATGGTTTGAATTGGGATTTTCTAATCCGATATCTGAACCGTCAAGAGGTGATATATGACTTATTGGTGAAAAAAGGGTGCTGGCTGGACTAATTGGTATAGAATGATTACATACATTAGCAATATGAACAACATCAGAGCTCACACTATTTGGACTAGGAGGTACATTTTCAGTATGAACCATTGAGTTTTCTTGTTTACTCTCACTTATATCTGATTCTACATTATCTTCAAGCTCACGTTTCAAACAATTGGAATCAAATTCAGTTTCATTTATAGACTCAACTTCGTATTTCAAATCCTTTACTGATTCTTTGTCTGTTTCAATCTTGAGGGAAGGACCCTCTTTTTGTGGTGTTGTTTCCTCCTTCACAGACCTGCTGTTACCAGAGACATCTGACATATTGTCTATGTTATGAGACACACTCAGATGAACAGAAGATTTATCATCATCTTCACCACATAACACACTGTCTACTGAAAGTCTGCTGTGATCCAAACTTGAATCTAAATCACTCTGGTAGTCTTCAGGTTCTTCTTTCACCTGACCAGAATCTAGTCTTTTAGGACTTTCAAATTCAAATTCACAGAAACTGTTACAATCACTGTCAAGAAGATCAGTATTATATTGCACTTCATTTTGAAACGATACACTATCACTATCATTCAGACTTTCATTGTCTCCATTTAATTTTTTAGATTTTTTGTGACTTTTTCCCCTTTCTCCTCTAGCTTTTGACTTTTTGCCTTCAGTCTTTGAGGTTGAAGTTTTGCTTCCAAAGGTCGCTCTGGTATTTGGAGAATTAGTATTGGAGAAGTCATTATCATCTGAATTTTCTCTATTTGAATCTTGAGAAGAATCCAAGCAACTTTTGTTTTTCTTCTTCTTTTTCTTTTTTTTCTTCTTTTTTGATGCACCTGGTTCCTGAGCAGTTGTACTATCAGAATTAACATCTGATTGGACAGATGGTTGGGTAGAAAACAAGGATGCATCAGAATTATAATTTTCACTCTGGTTTAAAGAATTTGACAGTTGGGAGATTGTCTTATCTAGAGTTTGAAAGTCATCAACAGTAGACTTATCAAGAGCTTCTGTAAGATGGGCTGAAGATGTTGAACAACCAGAGTCCAGTGCTCTGCCTTGTGACTTTCCTCTTTTCTTTTTTGCTCTCTTTCTTCCTTTTGAACATGTACTTTCATTACTTTCTGAGTCATAATAAGATGAGTCATTGTTCTTTTGCACTGTTACAGCATCTGGGTCCCTATGAGCTTTGGCAAGATGGCTTGAAATAGTAGTCTGATTGTCACCATCTGAAGTCAAATCTGTTTCCACAGCACTGTCATTGTTAACATTCTTCGCCTTCTTTCTGCCTTTTTGATGTTTATTTTTCTTTCCATTGCTTTTGGTCGCTGGAGCTGATATATTTCTGGAGCTGTCACTTTGCTGAGGACTCAACATATTTTTTTCCTTTTCACTTGAAGAATCTGAAATCATCCTGACAACACTTTTTCTTTTCAGTGTTTTAGTTTCTGTTGACCCTAATAGCCTACCAGTAGATTTTCTTTTAGATTTAACCTGATGATTGCTTCTTAAGCTTGAATCTGAGTGAAATGTATATTCATCATCAATTTCTGTGTCTAGTTCACTACATGAAGCTTTCTGTGATGCTGCAGAATCAGTCTGACTGCTTCCATCTGATGAATCTTCATCTTCACCATCACCTTTTCCTTTCTCTTTTTTTGTATTTTTGGTAGATTCCCTTTTGGATGATTTTTTTTTGGCATCGTAAGGTTTTTCATTTAGTGTTGATTTTTCTTCAACACTTGATAAATCAGCCAAATTTGATTCTGTATCAAGATTTTGTTTCTTTCTCCTTTTATTAGCAGAAGATGTAACTTTCTTTTTCTTAGAACGTTTAGAAGATGTTGTTTTCCCAGTGCTATCTGAATTAGTTTCTGAAAGGTCATCACCATCTGAAGTAACTGATGAACTTGAGAGGTCATCAGAATCATGACCACCTTCTTCGCGTTTTCTCTTTCTTTTTTTAGATTTGTTGTCAGCTTCTGCCAGTTCACTCTTCTTTGATTTTGTAACTTTGTCATCAGGAGTTACAGATTTCTTTTTCTTCAAAGCTGTAGCTTGTGGCTTTTTGAATCCATCAGCAGAACAATTCAAAGATTTTTCTGAGTTTGTTGGACTAGAGGGGTGATTAGTGATGGTTTGAGATGATATTGAGTTGCCTCGAGATCTTCTACCATGTGATTTTGATAGAGTATGGGTAGAGGAGTTACCAGAGTGGACTGACAGCTGGTCTGTGTGTGAGTGGGTACCAGATGATGATGATTGTAACATTTGTAACAGTGACAGGTTCTGGGATTCTCTGGCTAATAAAGTTCGATTGGCATCAGGTTTGGATACTTTGGATACCATACTAGTAGCATCTGTGATATAAGTAGCTGTATCAGTTATAAAGCTTCCGTCAAGTTGACATCCTTCATCATATCCAGCTATCAAGGATTTCATATATCTATCCAACAATTTCGGATTATTTTTGTATTCAAAATATATTTTATTTATATCATGGCCTTTCTTCTTCAAAGTTGTGTAATACTTTCTCCTAGTTTCTGATTTTTTTATCAGTTTTCTTTTGGCTTTTTCATACGTATCTTTGTACTTTTTCAAATCTTTATCCTAAAAATACAGAAATCATATTTGCATCTGGTTATTGCTTTGAATGCCTTAAAAGGAATTTATTTTTCAGTGAGAAAACATATCAAGGTAAATTTTAATGTTGCATTCTGTCATACAAGAAAGCGGCCATTGGAGTCTAGGTATAAGCTGAAGTTGGTAATTACAATTAATACAATGTTCATTAATTTAAGGGGACAATGATTAAACTTACAGCTTGAAAAAGAAGAGAAGACAAATCAGGTTCTGGTTCATGCCACAGTTTAATCAATATCTGACTTCTAGCAGTAGAATGTGGTAGTTTATCATAAGGTGGTATCTGTTCATTGAATATCTTTAAACCATCATCAGAATCAATACTGGCAAACTTATCCTGATAAAAACAAAAGATCACAAAGTGTTTTACATAGCATATAGAGATATACTGATTTCATAAATTGTTACAAATAAAACTCATAATCCAATTAATGAGTCACAAAAGAGCCAGATTTGTGGGATAGCAAGACCTGTTTGAGATTGACCATTACATAATTTGTCTTCTTATCAAGAAACCAGTCCTATGAGACACTTTGAAAGGTTAAAAATAATGTCAACAGAATAGGACTGTGGTAGAAAATTTAGATTACATTGCACACAAAAATATCAGGAAACGAAATTGTACAGGTAGACTAATCTAATTAGAACCATTCCAATTTCTCCTTTTGTTTCAAAAGGTTTCAAAATATGTATTGAACATATGCTTCAGTAGTGTGTTATACAATATATTACTACCTGTTGATGAGCTGTAAGTAATGAATGGGATGTGGTTGGTGATAGTTGACAAGTGTCACATAGCTCCTCAATGTTATTATTACCATAATTAGTTCTGATATTCCCTGGTTTACATAGAACACAGGATTCACTTGACACTCCTGTTTCTAATACTTCTATCAATATAAATATATTGAATCATGAAATGAAGAGTCCATATTACATTGGTATGCATACTTTTGATCTATATAGTAGTTGTTGGTGTCCTGAGTGAAGCAGACCATGCTTACTCTTTTTGAAACACCTGATGGTACTTTTCCTTACACTACAATACAACTTTGACTCTCTTTATTTACCATACTTTGATTTATGATTAATGAAACTGTTTTTTGGTTGGGTGTAGGTGCTTTTATCCTACGTAGAGTGTTTTTTCTTGGCAGAATTCCGAAGCAGAATTGTTTCATTCAAGCATGGTTTTATTCCTGAAATGCTACAGTGGTCACAATTTTTGTTCAAAGCATAGAAGACATTCTCAAAACTACATACCATGATATCTATTAGAATAATCAATCGTTGTCACTTCTAACAAATTATTTTCTTCACAAACTTGACCAACATGTCTTTCTAATGAAGACATCCATAATTTACAGTGCAACTGAGCTTCTTGGTTGAAATTACTGGTATTGAAGCCTGGACCAGCAGAACATGTTGGATCATTATTATTATTATTAGTGGTAGAATAAACTTGATGATATAACTCTCCATGACAGTCCAGCTGGAAACAAAAAAGTTTGATTAAAAATTCTATCCATACTTAATAAATAAATGATTGAAAATAGCCATATTAAGCAAATTCAACACTGCAAAAAAAAGCTTAGTCAGCTTTCCCAACTGCTGGGAGGGATCTCTAGAACATTTATTGATCCATAATGACAAGACACTTTTCTATGGGAGTAGCTCAAACCTGTGTCAATGACGGAAAAAATTCAAAGGAATAATCTTAACAAGCCTTTCACTAAGTCATCATGGATTCCTATAAATATTAGAAGGCATCACTAACTGTACCTGTAATGTTAAAATAGAGTTTGAATCAGCACCAGACAAAGCTGATATACCACTTAATGATGTTTCTAATCTCTTCTTAGATAATATACAGTATGTATTTAACATTGGTATTTCATAGTTACAGATATCACTGAAATTATAATACACAGAATATTCAATATCCAATATAAAATATCATATTAAAAAATAACCAAGCATAGCCAGGTAGAGTCTATTTAAACTCATGACAAACTGGTGAATTACCAGTAAATGTGATGACTTTTCATACTGTATTCAAATATCATGTTCAATATCGTTAATTGAGGTTATTTCACTCTTAGTGGATATGAGGGTACCTTATCATCAAATTGAAATTGAAATAACAATAATGAGTACGAAATTGTACTGCTACTAATATATACCTTATTTTAGAGAGTCTAAAAGGAGTTTGTGTAGATGTAGCAGGTTTAGTATCAGACTGTTGAAATCTAAAACAAGTGGTTTCTGGTGGGTAATGGGATGATAAGAGAACCAGTGAATTATCAGTGTTATACTGGTCTTTATAAACTGATATTAACCCTGGACTAGAGTCTAATAGATGATCCCAATATAATACCTGTAAGAAACAGAGGTGGCATTTTGTAGCATCAAATGAAATCAAAAGATATAGTTTTAAGTCAATTCTTTTTTCGCTCCTTAATGAGCTCATGAAACCGGGGAAGATTGTGCTGAATGAAGGAAATTTTGCCTTGACTTTCTTTGTAGTATGGCAAAGACTTGAAGTCATTTTCAACTGAAAATTGTAATCTATAACATCAGTCCAAAAGAATTCCAATATTTTTACTATGAGCATATTCATACGACCATTATATTATGACGAAAATAAAAGAGAAACTTACACTATGATTAGGAAAGCGTTGATCTAGTAATAGTAAAGAATAATCTGTAGCTAGTAAATATTGATAGGGATTACTAGGATGTTTACTAGTTACTGTTATACGTTCATTATTCAGTAATCTTTTATTAGGTAGTGTAAATAAATCAAAACTCTCATCACACTTTGTCTGAAATTAAATATATATCGTACTTATACATTTTTATTTCTAATTTTTATTTTCTATTGATGTACTCTAAGAAAAATAAATTCATTAATTGTGTACAAATAGAATGTAGGAACAGAACTGAAAATTATACAGGGAAGTCACAATACATATACTGGTATGAAATAATTGAAGTCTTGATGGAATTTATCATAAAGGATAACCAATAACTTGTTACAAAATTCAAAAACATAACCCAACAGCTGGATGATGAAAAATTAGTCCCAAGCGAAAGGGACAAATTGATATATTAACATTGTTATCAAACATACCCTTCTATCATAGATCTGTACCACTGTTTTATCAGCTAATACAATTTCTTGTGGACATGCTCCATATTGTACTTGTCTCCATTTATCATTACAATGAAATCTTGTTGCCTTATTTAGTATAACTCCTTCTAGTCTACAATTATTTTAACATTAACATTTTATTTGAATTACCTATCATGTCTTAGGTAATTTACATATCTAACTTCAAAGTTCTTGAATGTAAGGGTTTTCCTCATACTCAGTCATAAGGAAAAACATTTTAGCCTATGTCCAGCTGGTAGAAACCATCATCGGTACCCATATTACTATCGTTGAGAAGTATACATGTAAATGGATTATTCTCATCTTTTATCTTTGAAATGTGTTAAATAAATCACAAAGAACATGTCCTACCCTTTACCAACATTCCAAATATGTACAGTACCAGAATCTGTTGCTATCAAACTTTCACCTTCTATATAAGGACTGAAAATAAAATAACATATACATATATAATAATATATGTAACTATTAAAACATTCACTTCAATATATATATTAGTTTTTATAAATCATTGTCTTAGTTACTTGAGTAAACTACATTTTAGACTTGTGTTGGAACATTGAATTGTGACAAATTTTGCCTTTTATCCTAAAAAAAAAACAGCACAATTTCAAAGGATATTTAGTCCAAATAATAGCCTTTTCATTGATATCAATTTCAGCTATCCATATCGCTTTTCAACATAATATTCCACTTTCAGAGTTGTCTTACTTTCAAGTTACAGTATGTAACCAGATAATTGAACAGGTCATTACTTACCTTACAGCAATAGATGTTGGTTTTTCATCCACTGTTTCAATAGTATTAATAGTATTACTGTAATTTTCTCCTTGAAATCTCATCATATGACATTTATTGTCTTGACTTCTTATACCACAATATCCTGTATGAGAAGTTGTTCTTAATTAATTCAAATAATTAATAAAATATCAATAATCATATGTTCTAATAACCATGTTTAAACTAATAAAATATGTCTCCTTAAAGAAACCTGCTAGCCCATTGAAGTACAATTGGTGCTCGAGAAAAATCAGATTGACAAGGATCCTGTCCATGAGCTGGTCCTTGGCCAAATCTCTTGGTATTGATCTTTCCTGGTTTATCCGTTCTCTTTTCCTGCTAGATGAACTGGAATAATGAGGAAAGATGACTTATTCAATGCTAAACAAGAAAGTTTTGACAATAGAATAATCCTTAAATCCCCTGTCCCCCTGAAAAAAAAGTTCAGAATTTGGAGCACCACTTACACCAGTGAAGCAATACTAACTTACCAGTATCTCTTATTTTAGTAGATTGCACCTCGTATATACCTGATCCTATATCAATCTCTATACCATTACCATATTTATAGATATTATTATCATCTTCATTTACTGTTACATCACATATATCTTGTTACAACTCAGGAAATAAATTGATTCTAAAATTTTATGTTGCTCTTTAATATGAATTGAACACTATTTTAACAGTGAAAAGATTTTGTTATTGTATGTGTATATTTATAGAAATAAGGATACTGAGTTTATCAAATTGTGGACCAGAAGGAAAACAAACAGTCTTGTTGTATCTGTCATCATTTAACACAGCTAGACATCCACCAACATATTCACTGTTATAATTCTATGAATAAAAACATTACATAGGTTACATTATCTGAGATTTCTACAGTTTTCCATCCAAAAATTATATATGTTATTAAACTAATATAACAACAAGTTATACATATTTGTGTGATGTAATTAGGGTAGCAAATATCAAACAAATGTATTACTATACCAATATTCTGATTTGTACCCAACCACAATGAGGAAAAAATGATTTCAGAAATGGGTACTAAATACCAATTGCTCATCTTTCCTAACAAAAAAGGACAAACCTCTATATTAGCTGATATCAATTTTGTATAATCTAAGATATAATTTTTCACAGTTTCAGTAGGTCTAGTTTTAACAGCTAGTTTAATAATACACCCCTCTTCTTCTACACCTTCTATTAAACGTTTTAATGGTTTCAAATGATTACATGGTATCTAAAATAAAACACATGGCATCATCAAGAAAAAGTTATATCTTGAATATTGTGCACATTGGATAACATATTTTGATTTATTTGCCAAATGTGTATAACCAATGTTTCAGGAACGAGCACAAGAGCTGAATCCAATTCAGATTCCACTTCAGTACAGTTGTTAAACAACACTTTCTCTTGCCTCAAGTTTTCTATTAACACTTGAAATATGTGGTGTGGTGTTTTTCTCGGTAAGTAATTTTCTGCAATAAAAGTATATTATATAATAATCCTTTCAGATCAGTGAAAGTCCATGGAATCAAATGAAAGTTAAAATCTGCAATTACTACTGTTACCTTAACAACATATTCATTTTGACTGTTTCTAAACATAACACAGTATGAAAGTTATTACCTTAGAAAGCATGGCTCCTCTCATTCTAGTTATATAATTAACAAAATATCTGGCCTTTTCAATATTAGCAAGATTCTCCGCCATAACTCGATCCTTGAACGGGTAGTCAACTGAAAAATGCATTGTGAGTAAAATTGTATAATGGACACAATATAGTCACTTGTTCTATCAGCAAATTACTTTTTACCCTTATAACCCTATCACACCGGACTGCCACCATTTGTGATCTTATTGCGACTATTAAATGTACTGTGTAAAATATTGTATTTAAGGAGACGTCTGTGGCGATCTCAACAGCGATTATTGGCATCCATTGGCCAAAAACACTTACTGTACCTTGTAATGCTGTAGAAGATATTGGTAGTGTTGGATGTTTAGCAGATAACTGATCATCATTAAAATGATTATTCTGATTAAGAACTGGTTGTCCTATATCACTCTGTATTAAAACACTAGACACTCTTCCATAGTTAATAAAAATATCATGGCGCTTGTTGTTTGGTCTAATTAATGAATTAGGGAAATAATAGTCTTGTGTGTCATATTTGGATGTTTCATTTTCATCCATGTTATTATTTGATGACATACTTTGCCTTGCTTTTAGCAACCTATAAAGGAAATGTGAAATGTTATCTGGATTGTTTTCATATTCATAGATCATCAAGTCATAACTGAATAACTAATGCATTGAGCTAGAGAGAACTTAGGACAAGATAAATTTCCCTATCTTTGATGTTTTTGTTGACTGATAGAAATCAAGTTAAAATGCCAGGTCAGAAAAAAGGGTTCTTGATTCTAGAAGAGCTAATCTCCTGGTGATGCATAAAAATTCCTCAGTTCAGGCGAAGCTCACTAAACCGGATCAAGGAGTCATCAACTGCTCCTCTTAGAATCACACACATTGTGATTACCTCCCTTGGACCTTTCACTTTCAACGTTTTAGGAATATCGCGGTGTAGTCTTCAGATATTAAACAACATCTCACCATTTAGTGTTAAGAAAGATCATACAGTAACGTGATTTTCACTTACGTTATATTTAGGGAACTGTCATAAATATTCGTACGATTTACAAGATACTTCTTTCTGAAAAATAAGCAATGTTGTTATTCATGGGCGCAGCCAACTTGCTGGAGTAATAATTATTGTTTATCATTTTCTTTTGGAACCTGAATCCTAATTTCATTCTATTTTGGATAGATAATGGTGACCTATGATAAATATCGAGGGAGATAAAATCAGAATTAAATCCAAACGAAATGGTAGTTATAAATTAGTATATCAACGTACAATAATGTACATTGTCAACAATTTTCACTAAATGCTCCCTCAGAGAAATATTTTTAAGTGGAGGGAAAATGAAAGTAAAGATTAAAAGTAAGTTTGCTTTTATTCAAATTCAACGTACGCCAATATGATGAATTCGTTATACAGTATTTTGATCAGAGTCAATGAAACAAAAGCAACGACATAAGAAAGCCATAATTTATTCTATATAGGATTAAATGCAATGACTTCATGTCAGGTTCTGAGGAGAGTAGGCTAGCCTGACAAGTGACATTTTTTAATGGTATAATGCCTATTTTGAATTGAATTTGAATAGGACTATAATAAATTGATCAGCTCTGATAAGAGCTGGAAATTTTTCAATTTGTTGTTTAGTCAACAATAGACAATCCATTTATCAATGATATTTATTTTCTATTTATTTCATGTTTTACTTTTCACCAATGTTTAAAGGGTGAGTTGATTTTCATTTCATTTTTTATCCCTGGCAGGGTTCAACACGGGTTTTCTAGTTCTAATAGGATAAATCAGCATGGCCGTGATATGTTAGAAATAGAGCACATGCATGACTTCAAAGCTTTTGTTGAAGCCAATATATGACACCATAATATATTGTATTGTAGGGCCTAGGGCATAGATTGGGCTATATCTGAAAAAATTTCTTGGCCATTGTAATGTAGCATAATTCAGATAATATTATGTAGCCTACTTCAAATTTCCATTCAAATACTGATATCAAAATCTCACTGTCACTTTTAGTTTTAATCAGACATGATTGGTAAATACTGCCTTATAGATCATCAGGTTTGAATTGATATTATTTAAGTAGATATTTATTTAAAATTTCAGTTGGACAGCTGTAGCCAGTTGGAGATGGATAGCTAATGATGAGAATTGTGGAATCTGTCGAATGCCTTTTGATGGATGTTGTCCAGATTGTAAACTACCAGGAGATGATTGTCCTCTAGGTATTTTCTATTTTTTTTTTATTTCTGATTGAGCTCAAGTGCAGAAATTGGATTTGGTAGCCCAGACCTATTATTCCAGTCATAGGAAAGAGGAATCAAGATTTCTTAGTGATTCGGTCTGCAATTCCCAATATGTCACACATCTTGAAAGATCCAGGATGGTTATGGAACTCATTCTAAGTCTACCTTTGTGTCAGCTCTTAAATTGCTATTTGGTAGATAGGCTTCCCAACGTGTCAGTTTTCTCCAAGTTATAAAACTCTGCTAACCATTGCATTGGGATTTTTTCTCTTAGTTTTTGATATTTGGTTTTATCCTTTATGTCCTAGTATATTTATGACTTATTTGGTTTTTTTTCAGTTTGGGGTCAGTGTTCCCATTGTTTTCATATTCACTGTATAGTGAAATGGCTGAATTCCCAGCAAGTTCATCAACTATGTCCTATGTGTCGACAAGAATGGAAATTTAAAGAATGACAGGATTTTCTGACAGACATTCCTTCATTCACACTGCCATATGTTTCAATATGTATATAGACCAATACTGGTGTAGATGTTTTCATTGTTAATACTGACTATTTCTTACATGTTTTGTATGTGTGTATAGGAGACTACATGCCCTGCTGGGGATGGATTATTTCATAAGGATAAAGGGAAACGTACTATCTCCATTTGTGATAAATATAATGTTAACTCTGGTATCAAAATAATTTGTGTATAGCCTATGTAATTATCTTGAGAACCAGTTTGAAGGGAGGCAATCTGTGTTTCACAGACTGATATTGTCTTATTTATTTCATTAAATGATTGAACATACCTTTGTATATTTGGACTTCTTTTTAATATAAGGCTCATCTTTGAACAAAAAAAACCCAATTGATAACCATTGGATTTCAATTTTACTGGGTGTTCAACAAACTGTTAAAGAAGAGCCCTATATCGAATGTTCATTTTGGGAAAGGGTGTAAACTTTACACTGAAGTGCTGAATGAAAGGTTAAAATCCAGAAATTACAGTCACACATTTCATTTTGCAATATAAACATTTCAACATTGGTTAACGATAAAAAAATTTGTATAATTCTTCACATGAAATGACTGAAAGCCTTGCATAAGGAAAACAATTATTACACTTGTATTCATCTGTATCACATCACTTCCACATGAACTTTAATACCTCATTCTCAAGTTAATCTCAGTTTATTTGTCTGATATCAAACAGGAAATTGATATTTTCTGTCACATCATGAAAAGGTTATTTCACTAGCATTAAAAGTTTATATTTCACATATTAAACACACTATCAGGAAGTTAACATTGCTTCTTGTAGTTTGTGAGCAGCATCTTCACTTAATTTCTTACAACTTTTTAACAGATCTGCAAGAAAATAAGAATGAATAAATGGGCTAAAATTCAAATTTGTTATGATATAATTGATTTTTACTTAAATTGATACTTTAATGTGCGATAGTATCATTTAATAGAATTTGAATATTATGCTGAAAGTGTCAAAAGAGTCATATTCCAGTAAACATGCTCATGTCTTGCTGTGATAGCACCTGTATAGTTGTAGGTTAATTTTAATACACAGTTCTGTGCTCAAATATAGAAAAGATAAAATGGGGAGCAAGATTATCATCCTACCTTCTAATTGTTGTTCAGCATCATGTAGATTAGAATTATCAAAACTGGAGGTATCTAATGTCCAATAATTATCATCAACCCATGGTGTAGGTAGAATACTGTTATTATTACTTATAGCTTTATTAGTAGACTCTACAATAAACACTAACACTTAAAGTCAGGTACTTCTATAATGAGAAAAGTTAGTATACTGGGTCCAGAGAGTCCTTGAAACAATTTAAGCTAATGACATCCCATTATCAACAGATTCAAACTCTGCTCCCTTTCTTACAAAAAAACTGAGCACCTAGTAAGTTGTTTAAAAAGACTTCGAAATTGGTGACATCTAAAACTTAACATGAGTAAAGAGAAACAAAAATGACTTTTTAATCCAAAGGGGGTTCATTCCATCAAAAAATATCAATACCTTCTATTGCTTTATCAATTTGTTGACACATTAAAAAAAGTTCACTTCCCTTGCCAGATACTCTCTCACCTGAAGAAAAAATAATAATTATTTTAATTTTAAGTACAGCTGACTGTAATGAAGTGGCTTAATTTTGAATCATCATATTAGTTAACCAAACCAAGGTAAAATAGAAGGAATCATTTGCCTTAGAAAAAATATCAAATTTTTGAAAAATTTTGGCCTTAAATAGTTTTAAAATTTATTTCTGCGATATAAGGCATCTATCTTTTAAGGTTAGAAACTGATGTAAGTTATTGCTTACCATTTAAAGATACCAATGTTGGAAATAGATTTATAACATCTTGTTTATAGTTTGTATTATGACACAAAGGATTAGATAATCCTGTTCTATAATCCTCTAATCTTAATTCTTTCAGATTACTTAATCCAGTTAAACACCCGAGTTCGCCTATGCTGTAAATATAAACCAAATAATTTCTGATGAAGAATATGTGAACTATAAAAAATAGAAAACCATTCAAATAGTTTTTGTATCAAAAATCAATTTTTTGTAGGATTTTAGGTTGAAATTTATTCTTCTTTGAAATCGAAATCAGATATGATATTGTAAACATCATTACTCCAAATTGCTGTCGTATCAATTTATGCAACTATAATAACAGTAATCTGCAATACAATATTTCCAGCAAAAACTATTGAGTGTTTACCTTCCAATTAAGTTACCAGATAAATTCAATTTACATAAACCTTCTAATGACTGTAACCCTTCTGAAAGTGAAGAAGATTTAATCTATTTATATCATTTATAGTCGACAGATTTCATTAGCTTGTCAAACAAGTTAAAAATTAAAATTAAAATTATGAAAACATTGATATTTAAAATTGATACAGGTTTAACTATCGAGGCATGTTGTCTGAGTTTTCCTTACATCTTTGTATGTTTCAGTCAATGGCGATAACATAGGCCTACTTACCTAAACAATGTATTCTATTAGCTGATAAATTTAACACAGCTAAATGATCTAGACCAGCTAGCTTGTGTAATTTACTCAGGTTATTCTTTGATAAATCTAATTGTTCCAAGTTGGTACAGTCACTGATACTGCCAAGATCATTTATGTCTGAAATTAAAATACAGATTAAAAATGAGGGGTGTGGTTAAGAGCTGGAGGGGACTACTTTCTGATAAAGCCAAAGGTATATTACATGTAAATAACCAAGCATTTCTAGATATTTCTTTATCTTGTAAAGTAGGTTTATTAACATGAAAATGTAAATGTATTTTGTTATTCCTACATCTGTTTTGCTTCGGACATCCTACCTAATCACAGAAAATAAAGGCTGTGACTTTCTGACTTGACTTACCTAAATTTTGTAAATTAATATTATGGATACTTTCAACTTCAAACTCTCCACTTATAGTCTTTAAAAACTGTTTTGTAATTTTTCCTACTTGAAAGTAAACAATGATCATTAATGTCAAAGGGATTTAGTATTTATACTCTTCTAAATTTGCTTTTCCTGCTTGAACAGAATTTCAAATTCATGGTTCTCTTGTAATCAAAGATATAACTTCAAAAACGGATCTTGCAACCTTCGGTCAATAAATAGTCTAATAAATAAGTTTCTTTTTCAGACTGGAGTAAGTTGTCTGCAGTAGGTCTAGATCTACAGTGTACTCTGTGATATCCGACATCTGAGTACTATGAGCCGATTCAATTAGACAAGCTTGCCTTACGAGGACCGGGATATCTTGCTTGAAGTAAATTCAAATAGCGTTAATAATCATACATACCACTGTTTACTGTCATTTTTCTTTTTATAAATCAAACATTAACACAGAAAAAAACCATTTTAATTTGTTGTAGCAACAAAGAGTTATCTTTCCTTAGAAATTAAGGTATTTGTAATTATTGGATTTGGATCTGAAATAACCTTTAAAACTAAGATTTAGGTCAAATTATTGGTATATTTAATATTACTCGTAATTTCTATGTATAGAGATAAACATTGGATTAAAATTTACTAGATGTCTTTGGGGTTCGGGGAATACTGAAAACTTAAAAACCAGTTTTGTATTAACTTTGACCTTGAACTACAAATTTGTATTACCTCCCTTCTTGACGTAAACAAAAATAGGATGAAAGACTCAATGACCTTTAGGCTTAGGGCTTCTTTTATCTAAAAATATTCAATGTTCATTTGTAGGTTATCAAGATTAAACAGGTCCCTTTCCTTTCCTTTCCATTTCTACCTTACAACAAGAAAAATGGCTGACGAGATTGCAGGAATACGTCATCCTTATCTGAGCAAAAGTGATATTTTTGATATCAAAGATCTGCATTCCAAGAATCCTTTTCAACAATTTAACAAGTGGTTTGAGGACGCCAGCCAGTCTTCCAACATCCTAGAACCAAATGCCATGGCTCTAGCTACTGCCTCCAACTCTGGTGTACCCTCAGTGAGAATGCTGCTTTTGAAAGGATTCAGTGAAGAAAATGGTTTCGTATTCTACACAAATTATGAGAGTAGGAAATCAAAAGATTTACAAGCCAACCCACAATGTAGTTTGATGTTTTATTGGGAACCTTTAAGACGGTCAGTAAGGATAGAAGGAAAAGCAGCTAAAATGTCAAGAGAAGCTAGTGAAAAGTATTTTTCTTCAAGACCAAGAGATAGTCAGATAAGTGCTATTGTCAGCAAACAGGGGCAAGTGGTAAACAATCGTGAATTTTTAGATAAAAAACATTCAAGTACTGTTGAACAATATGGAGATAAAATGCCAATTGAAATGCCAGATTATTGGGGTGGATTTCATATTCAACCATCAGTATTTGAGTTTTGGCAGGGGCAGTCCAATCGACTTCATGATAGAATAATGTTCAGGAAACTGGGTAGTGGAGAAAAGAAAAGTGGGTCTGCAATGGTTGGTGAAAATGGATGGATAATTGAAAGACTCTCTCCTTAAAGATCATACCCTTTTTTTTGTATACCATTCCGTTATGAAATCCCTTTCCAATCAATTTGATAAATTCTGATCATTTTAAAAGCTTTTAAAATGTGATCAATTTTGGAACAATGGCTGATTTTTGTAGTATTACTGGTATTTTTGTATGATTTTTATGAATAGAGTGCAATATTCCTTATAGTTAAGTGTCCCTAAATCTAGATTATAATTGATGATTTTAAACATAATAGAATTGTTTTAGCTGTTTTAGCAGTATATTTTTATAATCAGTTGAAATAATATAAGCTTATATTGTTTCCATTGCCATTATTTGCTTATCCTTGAATTGCATATTGATTAGAATTGACTCTCTCAATTTGCCCCTCTTTCATAAAAATGTAAATACAATGGTTCATACTGCCATTTTATTCTAGTCTGCTGAATTGTATTGGAATTTAAGGAAATCTCAATTTTGTGCTGAAAACTCTGTGGTATAGTTATCATAAGAGGTCAGTAAATAAAGCAAACTATTGAATTTGTAGTTGTTCTTTATTTCAGTGTAAAATTTAATAACCAAGGAACCATGTCCAAGGAACTGTCATTAGTGTTACAACAATAATGGCGGCTGCATACAGTGTTGCCAAAATATTATGATTAATTTAGAAGAAAGAAAGTACAGGACACAAAAACTGTTAATTTTGTAGTTGATACTTGAATACTGAAATCAGAAATTAATTTTTACTTATCCACCCAAATAGAAACAAATCAAAATGCGAACATCATTAAGTAATTTTTTAGTCGGTCTGTATAATCACGTCATATAAATCATCTGTAAACACTGTACAATATTTACAATAACTAACAACAGTTTCAATATATAGAGGTAATATATATTCAACCAGTAAACTGATTATTTCATCAAGAATATTTTACTAAAATGTTATGTTCTAATTTTTTTTTCTACAAATGAAGACAATACACTTATGCCTTCATACATTGAATTTTAATACTTCTACAGCAAAGACATTTGTGCACAGATGTCAAATAGCAACAGGAGCAAACAGGAGTTTGTATTTTGATAGTTTAAGTAGCAATGATAGCAATAAAATCTTTATTGTATGGCCTATTCTACCTCAAAACAAAATAAAGTGATCTTGATTTGAATTAAACCCAAAAATGTATGAACAAATATCCTTGCTTGACATACACGAGATGTCATTGTGGTCTGGTATGGATTGTATTTCCCTCTATATATTGTATTGAACTGTATAATAACAGGAATAACACTGTACATAAATAAGATCATGACATTATAATATCATTGTCCTTAAAAACATCTACATATTCTATGATATATTCATTAACTTCAGAAGTGGTTGTCTAATTGACAACAATGAAATGCCATTTATAGAAACCAAAATAAAATTCAAAGCGAAAACGTGGTGCACACAAAAAGAATTAAAGCAGTTTTTCCATCAAAAGGCGGACAAAACCTAAAAATACTGTTTGAGGAAAACTCTTGATAAAAAATTTATAAGTTTGCCTTAATATCAGAAATCAAACAATACAAAATATCCCATCACATTTAAAATACTGTTTATATATGAGGCTTTTTTTCACAAATTTTCATAAAAAATAAAAAAAATGTTTGAAACATTGATAACACTAGTCCAGATAAATTAACATTTGTTATATATTACATGCATTTCTATAACATATTTATATGAACTTATTAACTAGCAGAAATATTAAAATTTAGAAATAATCAGCTTTTCTCCATGAAAATGCAGATGGTAACAGAACAGACCAGAATCACTGGCAAGCTTTCCCTATTGTGGTAAGTAAATCGCAGATGCTGGCAATACCCTAATAAGTCTTAATTTTCTTGGCAGATTTTAACAGTGTAAATTGCTGTTGATATTTCAGTTTAAACACATTATGATAGAAAACTTCATCTGATATCATGAATATCTAGTACAATACACTTTCCAACCTTACTACTCCCAAGAAAATTTCAAATCATTTTGCGTCTACATGTCGTATTAAAAAGCAATAACACCTCTAAAAGGTACAAATTTTCACACAACTTTTCACAACCTAAACTTTTCAAAAGTTAAAATTTATAAAATCAGAGTACTAGCAAAAAAAAAAAGGTTTGACTACAAAGAACCAAAAATTGTATGATATATAATAATATGGTCATTCTAAGCTATAATATCACTTTTTTAAATGGTCACATTCGTATAAAGTCAAATTTTTTAAGTAAAATTCTTTCAGAATATCCACAAAAATCTGGTGTACATAAGGTTAAAAAATATGGTGATATTAGTACCACATCCCAGCATAGTTTCCCCACAATCCTGCAGGTAAAGGTCCTCCTGCAGCAAATAACCTGGTACCACTTTCATCATAACTGTGTGTATAAATAGCATTAGGATATTCTTGTTCAATAAAAAAATCTCGAAAATTATCATCAATCCTCTGAAATAGAGAAGAATTCTTCTACTGTCAAGAAACTTTAGGTCCATGAGTGCTAAATCTATATCATTATGTAAATCAAAGGTTAGAAATATGAGCTTTTCATAAAGAAACTAATCAGAAGAAAAATTTCTGTTGGCATTCAAAAACAGAAGGAACAAAAATTTTAAAGAAAGATGCATGGAACAAATTGAATCTAATGATTGCAGCCAGTTCTACTTCAACAGAATATGATTGAACAGCATTTTGGCCTCACAACCCATGCAATAAATACTATTCAGCTTATTTCATAAGTTTAAATTAAAGATAAAATATAATACCTACCAACCATCCTTTACCAATATTTAAAGAAAATGAATGTTGACAGCCTAACTCTAGGTATTTATTAGCTCGAAGATCATAAAATAACATATAACCTATACCAGTACCAATACTAATAATATCTTTATTAAACCCCACTGATCGTATACCTTCAATAATATAAAACATCATACTGTATATGTTTAATTAAAGATTTCATTATGTACACATTCATAGCCCAATTATTCTTAAAATTATTCTACATCAATCTGATGTAAAGAAAATATAGATGTTTCGTTTTCATGTTCTCAGTCATTAAAAGGATTCTAAAGAGATTTTCTAAACCTTATGGGGACACTGATGGCAGTGATTTTCACCATTCCAATTTTCAGTCACCAAAAGTATTTTATGTAGTAACCATTGCAAAAGCTCTAAGATATTATTGGAAATTGGAAACCATGACCCTGCTTCACATTAAAAAGCTAGAAAAATTCTTTACAACCCCTTTTACAAGAGTCTTTGTTTCATAAATGAAAATATATTACCAGTACTTACCTCTATCTCTATGTTTGGAAGGAAAAGCTGTTAAATTTTTAACCCTAGGATCAACAAGTGTTACATGTGATTGAGATCCAACTGCATACAGTTGTTTTTCTTCACTTACTGACATACACACACATTCTTTATAGTGTACCAACTTTCTTGTTGATTTCTATATAAAGAAAGGAATTATGTTGTAAAGAGATAGTCAGATTTTATAATGAAATTTTGTTAGAGGAGAAAACTTTGAAAATAATGTTCCCTTTTTGTATTAAAATTATATGACTTGTGATGTTATTTTCAACCAATATTGCAAATTCATGATTGTATGACGACGGCTTATTCGATCTAGCTTCTGAATTGGATAATTTTACTCCTTAGATTTCAGAGGTTTATAACTTACAGATTGGAAAGTCTCAACATCCCATAAATGTATCAAAGCATTTAATGATAATATTCCTAATTCCTGAAAAGATATATCAAATAAATCAAATGTCAAATACAAAAAAAGTCAAGTGTAAATATTTCTCTATTTATATAAAACTTAGTTTTGAATGTCAGGATTAGGTCATCTTCACAATGGTCAAGGTATTGCCGCATTCAAAATCTGCATTGGCTTAACATTGTGGAAATGGAATTAGGTACCGGTGTGCAAAGTAGGCTTTGCTCACCTTGGCTTTCAGTTCAATAAATTCAATACAATTTTGAATTTATTTCACTGTTCACTAAATCACTGTGGCAATTTATTTAAAAAGGCAACCTACTTTTCTATTTACATGATATGATAAAGCCCGAACTTTCTGAGCTTTGGGTACTACACACTTTTCTAGAGGATAATTGACATCATAATCTGGTAAATAGAGACTGCTTAATTTGACTGGTTTATCACTACCATTATTATCAATCTTCCATAAACCAATTTGACTATCTCTAGAACCTATAAAACATACATACAACACTAGTAATCATTGAAATAATTAGCTCATAAAGAAAATTCAATTTCAGTAAATCAATTATGTTCACAGTAATACTTTTTAAAGCAATGCTACGTTTAAATTCTGAAGGCATGTCCACTGATGAATATAAAATCTTATTGGCCAATTTAAGAATTTAAACAGTAGTATTTGCTTTAAGTGTTTCTTTTTGTTTTACCTGAGACTAGGAATTCATCATCAACCCACACTAAATCAAATATCCAATCTGTATGAGCTCGCTGAAAGAAAAACCATTATCAATGAAAAGAGGGTTTGGGAATACGATTATGTTCAAAATCTAAATCATAAAACTTTTGTTTCTAGACATATGCATGTATCACAAAATTTAATGTAATGTGATATAAGATAGGCTTCAATGAAGTCGTTTTTTGGGGGGAAAATAAATTCAATTAAATTTTAATGTTCTTACACAATTTACAGTTACTGGTAAATTGAAATGTTGGAGACAAGTTTTTGAATTAGTTGTCTTACCTCACCAACACAAACAGGATCAAATGTTGGTAAACTGTACACAGCTATATCATTAGTATGACTAGCTCCAGTAGCTAATAGGGTATGGGACGGATTAACAGCTACTGCATGAATACCACAAGGACAATCTGCTGGAATGCTTTCTTCACTACTTCTCAATGTGGGAATGTGGGTCATTTGACTATTTAACAAATCTAATGCTATTAACTGATTAAAAAAAATATTTAATAATATAAGCTTAAGCTTTAAACTATGTAATGAAATAACTTCATTTTAAAAATCTCCTTACTGATAGTTGACATTCCATATATATTTCTCAAAATATGTGAACAAAAATTTGTTTTTGAAATTTAAGGGACAGGTGTGTCATTTTGGGTTGTTGATTTTAGTCTTGAATATATATATGTAAATAGTCTTCAGAAGTACTAGAAATGTATGACAATCACATTATTCCTTTGAAAAATACTTCAAACTAGGAATTTTACTTTTTTTATTTATTGATATGTAAGCGTATGTCTTTTCTATATATCACAGAGCATCTTAAATGATGATTTGTCATTTTAACACTCAAAAGCAGATAATTCTGGTAAGCTGTGAAAGCTATTACTGATCAGCTCAGCTCCAAAATTCCAGTTTCTGAGACTAAAGTATGATTGGCCAAAAATGGTCTACCCGTCCGTTAAATATCAAGTTTTAAAATCTATTTTCAAGGTTTTTTCCAGCAGCGCTTCAGTTCAAGAGTGTATATTGCATATTGTTTAATATTCACAAGTTTAAAAGTAAGTGTGCTAATATTATCAATAGTTATACTGGTAATAAAAATTATTATAATTAATAATTATTATTATTATTAGTAATAAGTTTTACCTGGTTACATTTGGTACCAAAAACTACTTGTCTGTCATTTAACCATTGTGAAGCAAATATTTTATTAATTTTTCCTAATTCATATTCTTTCTCCTGTACAATACGTGGTATTTGTTGAGAAGTATATTCTGATAAAAGTTTATGTGGATTTGGTACTGTGTTTCCATACTGACGTTTCTGTATGTATTTAAATGCTTCAGTTGATATTCCTTGATAGCTAGTATCCAGTAATTCTGATTGACAATGTGATTTCTTACCCTGGCCTTTAAGACAAATAAGAATCAACATTATTTAACATATTATTACTTAGAACTATATAAAGGTACAGTACTTCAGTACACATACATGATGCCGATGGAAACTAGAAATATTTTAATGATTTAGATCTATTATAAATATGCCATGACTACGATTTCATTCGTATTTCTAATGTTAAGAGTTCAGAGTTGTAGATAAATACCAGTATGAAAGAGTGTACTCAAAATTGGGTTCTATGCTTGGAAATAAGGGGACCCAAAATAGTTGAGAAATTACAAAATATTATAATTCAGCGCAGTAAAAATGGCCATGTAGTTCTAGATCTATTTGGTAAAATTAGATTTGAAATTTAGGGGGAGGGATTTGATAACTACGTGAGTGGTATGATAAAACTTTGGATCAATACCTCTCTTCATTATGGTATGGAGAAAAGTCCAATGTTTCGTCGTACAAAACACTGGACAATGTATCTTGCATATTTTCGAAATTAAAAACCCAAAAACATTATCTGAAAAGTAACATCTCCAAAATCATTAACGAATTTTCGTTGCGCCGCCTATTTCCGGGAAGATAACTCTGCGTTTGGTGTGTCTAAAGTAGAAATAATTGACACAAACGAAAGGAAACGACCGATCTTATAGATAATTTTCTTACCTACTAAAAGACTAGTAATCACTTGTCCCTTTTGTTGACGAATGTCTTATAAGTTATATATTGGTCACAGTTATTTGATCACAAAGAATATAGGCCAATTTTCATAAAAAAAACCTTGTTTTATTAATGTCATGGATGTAACTAGGCTACAGTTTTAGCTTCCACAACATGTTTTTGTTGCAGCCTACTGTACACATAGTAGGTTTACTGGGCCTTTTTTATTATATTAATGTTGTCGAGGGGGGGGGGGGGGGGTGGGTGATCGGGTTGAAAGGACCACACCAAAGTGTTAAAAAAAAAACCAGATTTTGATCATAGCAAAACCCTGAAAGTAATATAATAATACTAACATTACAATCAGGTAACATATATACAATTAAAATAGAAAAATTACTGTAGGTGAATGTAGTTAATATATTGAGATGACTCAATAAGTCTTAAAACATATGCAATACGAAATAATAAGATGGCGGACCCTAAGTAACTATGGTAAACAAAAGACAAGAACTATAAAACTATATACTAGATAATCCAAATACACAGATTATGTTGAAGCAATATAACTGACACAAATATCCAATTCACAATAGGCCTACATTGAAGAAGTAGTTACAAAACTATAAACTGATTGACAACCAAGGTTGTCAGGCCAAAAACACTAATTGATATAGTTCAGGTTAAAATTAAAAACTCTGAGGTGAAGCTCTAAGACAAAAATGAAATGAAATGAATGGAGTTTTACGTCCTACTTTTCTGCACCATGTGGGCTAATGAAGACGGAAAGAAACAGAAGCAGTTAAGTTCGACTTTAACTGATTGTTAGATTAATACAGTGACAGAATATAACTTTGTAACCATTAAATACATTTAATTTCACCCTTCAACATTAACAATGAAAAGTATTACGGGTAGCCCGATAATCCTCAGTACGGATTAGATATCTTCACTGTTTCGGACAGACTCTTAACGTCGTTTATGTGGGAGTTTATTTAGACATTTTTTGGGTCGCTGGATTATGTCTGTGTTTCAACTAATTGGCTGTTCAGATCCAAATTTCGTTTGATTTACATATGCAGGGGTCTATCCATTTTTATTTTTGACCTAGAAATAAGACGACAATGCATCGTGGAACTTTGGGTCACAGTGATAAAACTTTCGAAATTTTACAGGCAAATTTTCTTGAATTTACAAAATTTATATTGATTTCAATTACCGAGGATATGATAAATATATGACATGATATATATAATTCTTGTGTTAATTTACCATCTGTCGAGGCAACTTTTTTAAAACACCCCAATGATTTTAACAGTGTATTAAAACAAAATATGTAATTAAAAACATATATTTATTTGGAGACAATAAAAATTCAATTATAGCATAGACAATAAAATTATCACACAACAGTTTATAGGCAAAAACAAAAGATACAATCAATAAAATGGTCCTTCCTCTGAAAGATGTACATGTATTATATATAGTGTATAGAAAGATTACCCATTTTCGTCGTCAGCAATGCAAATATTCCTTCAACCAGAAAACAAATTAATGCAAGCTCAAACAGAAAATAATAACATTATGGAATTGAGAATTAATTTATGCCATTATTATATCACATTTTTGAAAGTTTGAAATTAAAATCGAAATGATAATCTTTGAAGATGTTATATTGCTGATTAATGTACCATAAAAGGCACCAAATTCAAGCAACAACATAACCAAGATAGTCCGAAATATGTGCTTCTATTCTAGCCTCTGATAAATATTTTGACAGCCGACAACGCTCAAATTAGCTAACAGAGGCTGGTATAGAGGCAGATTTGTCTAAGAAGACAGACATATATATGACAGTTATGACAGCAAATTGATTTGTTAATGTTATCTTTGAACACATCAAAGGAACACCAAATGAGGTATGATACGTATAGGATTATCCATAAAGGTAAAAGAAGCGAATATACATGGTGTGCGTCTGGACACGAGGCGGACACGTTTTTGTTTCTCTTTTCGCGACAATTCCAGTCACCGCTCCAGTCACCAAAACTCTAGAAATTCCCATCTTACATAGGATTTCTATGTTGTTCTAGTGCGAACAATGGTATTTCTTATTAATCTGTAGTATACAATGTATGACAAGCTATAGACTATTACATAACGCAATTTCTATTTTAATTTCCTTCACGTCTGTATCACATTTCAGTGTGTTCTATGATAACGTCCACCCTGTGTACTTTATTCTAACTTATTATATTGAATATTTGATATATAGGAAATAAAAGGGAGTATATTTAGTCCACCGATTGGATTTCATAGTTTGTTACGGTGATTCATTTCAAACGTGCTTCCTTTATCAAAGCTGTTTCACTCTATTGGTATTAGAATTGAAATAGATGGCATGTAATTCCCCTTGAATGGAGTATAACATACAAGTACCGACCAATAAACTGATCTAGACACAGTTCGTAATAGAATGTGAAGATGATGATATGATACGTGTAATATGACACTAACGTGATCCTTATTCATATTCATCACGACTTTTTCCTTTTGTTATAAGTTCTAAATTTCCATTTTTGTGAGTTCTTGTGTACGTCACATTTTTGCATTATCAATTTTGGTCCCGTCATTAACTCCATACATAAACCAGATTTCTTGTGCCGCATAAATCCACCCTTAAATTAGAGAAGAAAAGAATAAAGGTTTCCGCAAAATTTTAATATACGGGCATTTTGGGGATAATGATGCAAAATTGATGTCCAAGGTGCTCTAGACACCCACATATAAATGTATCTTAATTGGTCAGAAGTTTGCACAATTTTCACTGCATATTATCTGTACAGTATGTAATTCTATTTTAAATTCCTTAATTGACGAATCTCTCTGTTTTGATGTGCGTAATGATAATTATATACAAGTAGTGTCCATTACAACCTTTTTGATCATCTAAAATACTGTATAAATTGAACAAATAGTCAGTAGATCTATTGCAGTATCTAATGTTTCCCCTTTTCTACAAAATTACCTTCATGTGTTGCCATCTTTCTTTCTCGCTCTCCATACAATCTTTGAGGAAAGGAGCGAGATCTGAATCTTCTTCTAATACAACAACACATTGCAGTGTAGTGCGTAATCTCATATCTTTGGTTAATGAAAACCCCTGAAATTACATTGTACAGTGGTGAATGAAACATCTTGGAGGGGAGAGGTTAAGGATCAATACTCTCAGGGATGGGAGGGGTAACAGTATCTCTTTGATGTCAAGATTTAGTCCAGAATTTGCTGTGTACTATCATGTCCTTAAAACTTGGTACATACTACATTGACGGGATTAAGAGTTCGACTCTTTAATCTTGGTGAAAGCAATCGACCAACGTACCTGAGTTGGGGAACTAAATGTACATCCCTTGACCTCGAGAGGTATTGGTGCTTGGAATAGGTAGTCTCCATTATCTAAACATTCTGAGCTTTCTACATTCTGTAGCTGAAATGTGATAGAACGAAACGAAATCATTTCTATTTGTTTCTATTCATTTCAGATCTATATCATATTTTAGTATAACATATATCTAAAAAGTACGGACAAAATGTGGACTTGCGTATTAGGATCACATCGAATTTAGCATTGTCTGGGAGAAACCGATCAATTGCTAGATTTAGTCGACAGCACACTGAAAAGTCGCAAGCAACCATCAGCTGCTCTTATCTAGCACAAAGTGAATTTAGTTTTGCACTGAGCGTTCCGACTCTGACGTTATTGAGTTGATTTAAGTTGCAAGTATAGTTGTCAACTTCTCGAGGATGAAATATGATCAGTTTACGAAAATAACATGTTGGTGACAATATTCGAAAAAAAACCAGTATGCTTACTTACCCCACCAAAAGCTATCACATTTTCCTCATATGGGAATAATTCTGGCCAAACGTGTTTTAAATACCAATCAAAATTCTTACATTGTAATCTTCGTTTTATCTCAAAACGTTCAGTTAAATCACCTGCATCGATATCCTACAATTCAAATACATGTATCAGAAGTGTAGCCATTTCCGTCAAAATCGTCATCAGGCAAAGAACCGTCGACCTTATATCACAATGTTAACGATCGCGGTTTTATTCATGGGCCAAATTCAGGCGTAAAAACTTATTATGCATTTTGTCCCTTGAAAATTTCCAAACAACTTTTTTCAGACGTTTGATTATTGTCAAAAAACATAACCACAAGAGTGCTAAATATAGCCACTAGAGAATAACTCTCTGATACGGTAGATAACAGCAATACTAATATTTCACACATATTATACTGTAAGGACGAAAAAATAGGGACCGGAAACCCTGAAAGATAACAACAGTACCTGCATATCTGGGTAATATTCGTAAACATATTTACTATAATTTCCCATCCATACATCTACTGCTCGTTTATAATTATACACTTCTGTTTCATGCCGACCCTCGGGGAAGACATACGGCTGTGTTCGAGCTATATGACCTATTTTTGAACATGGTAAGTGTAATAATTTGCCGCCACACATCCAGACCTAAAAAAAAGGAAAACATCAGTCGGCTATTTAGAAAATAGGAAACAATGGAATGCTTTTAAGTAGTAAAAAAAAAAAAAACAAAAAAAAAACTATCATCTCGAGATACTTACTCTCCATGCTAATTCTATATTTTCACCTCCCCATATTTTCATGCCACCATCGTATTTACCAATATGTTTAAAATACGTCACATTGATGGCAAAGGCTGGGCCAACCATAACCACGCCACTACAAGAGAAAATACATACGTTAAGGAACCACACAAAATATGGCATAGTGTCTATTACACCCCTCTTCAGCTTGGAGCATAAGCGTTTCTTATTCCAAGGTTTTTGTTTTTACATTCAGCAAATGAGAGCATATATACCTTGAACAAAAAGTAATAGCCTTATGACACGAGCAATTTTTTGGAAGCTCATTTCCCTATTGCCAAATTTCTCAATGACCAGATGATGGCTATTGTTATCTTCTAATGATTTTGATATAATGAGGATCGCAGTTGACATGAGTTTTAACGTTCAAGAAATATATACAAAAAAAATGGACAAGTTATTACACACCTACTGGTGAGTATCGAAATCGTCTAGAGCCAACTCCGTGACGCCGACACAGCACAACTGTTCAAATTACCAATAGACGGACCTTATGCGTACAAAAAGGCTACTGTATTATCAAATTAAACTTTTTGAACTTACGGCAATGGATCTGTGGACGACTTTCCTTCAACCTGATCTGGTCTAAAGTAGGTTTCAAAGAAGATCAATCGCCAATCAAAGCCATATCGCGTTTTGTAGCCTGCTTCAAAATCATACTGTAACGTATCAGCCTTAATATAATCTAAATGACCCATGGCCAGTGTGGTCCAATTCTTTTTTATTTCAACTAACAGTGGCTCTAACCTAAAATGAGAATCAATAAAACATAAGTGAATTGAAAGTGCGATATCAAGTCTTTATTTGGGTCGAATCTTAATGAAGGTTGCAGGAAAGCTGAAGTGACTAAATGGGACAAAATTTGGTTTTTCAGGCGAAAGGTTTCGAATTAAATTTTACATTTATATTTTGCCACTCGGCCCTGTGATTGGTCTTATCTTAAAGTAAAAATTAAGCCCACTAATTGCTCAAAATTCATCTCAAGCCATCTCGCAGACCCATATCCTTACGGGGCTTTGTCCCTGCGCCTCGGAGAAAATAGTCTCATTTTTGCCCCCCACCGCAGGCATTTTCCAGATAAGCTCTTTTCTAAGTAACACACCATTTCGTATTGACTTCCATGTGACTGTCAAAAAACGAAACAACTTCTGATGTGACATGGTCAAAACCAACTAAACGTGCTTTTATGAGTCCAACACGTTGCTTTAAACGGACTATCTGTACACGTTTATCTGGAAAATGTTCTTCTATATACACATCTAAATCTTCTTTTAAGCTATCTAAAAATAAAACTTGCATTCATTAACAATCTAAGATGTCCATGTCAATAAAATTGACCCATTTTTTAACTCAATAAAGCCGAGAGCATCACATGATACATTTATCTCTACAGACAACTATTGACAGGGCAATTATATGCGAGAATTGCTTGAATACTTTCAAATCAAATTACGTTTTAAGACCCACCAAGTACAAATAATGATCCACCGTACCAAAACATCCACTTTATACTCTTTACAGACATCACCACTATACTTGATATGGTTGCATTAATTGTATCAAACAAGCAAATGGTATTCGATGATAACAGGAGTAGCAATGGTAACAAATATGCATATTTGACCCCAATATGATGTGTGAAAAAAGCTACTATTAACGTAAGGTTGCAGACTTACCTAAATCACTAGCATCGTCTACTAATATAATTTGTTTTAATATGTATTTGGGTGTACGATTAAGTAAGCTATAGACAGTACGTAACAAGATGGATGGCCATTCATTGTGAAAGGGAATCACCACACTTGTTGTTGGCAGATTGTCAGGATATTCCATAGAACTGCATCTGAAATATTTAAAATGCACTTAAAAATAAATTTTTATTTAAGCCACCAATTTTCTAATCCGACTTTACTTTGTACCCCTTTTAAAGAAAAACCTGAAAAGGAAGGTAAACCCTGGAAAGGTTTATTATCTGACCAATAGTAAATATTAGACTACTGTCTGACATTATGGCTACTATACTTTTGTATATTCCCAAAAATATCTACGTGGGGTAATAATTGAATACTCTGTAACTGACATCGGTCTTAACGCCCACCATACGTTTTTCTTTTCAAATAAAAAATAATATGGTCTCATGGCTAGCTGGAATTTAGCTGGTAAAGTATATAACATCTTTCTTACTGAGAAAAATATGTTTTTTTTACTCTTAATCCGAGATTGTTTTAGATTTTGACGTTTTTTTTTCGTATATCAATTTTTTATATTTGAAGATTTTTTAAGCATATTAATTTCAAATCTACTCGGAATGTCTACTTTACTTTAAGTTTTAACTAATTATTAATAAACGTCCTTCGGGGTCTACACACTGTTTATGTTTTCAGAACCACCCTTCCGATGTGTACATTAGCTTTTATTGGAGGTTATTTGGTTGTTCGTTTGGAAATTGTACATTGTATACAGTAGTTTACTTAAAAACAGAAATAACCATGCCCGACATAAAAGAGATATAAAGTGAGAAAAGAAGAAAGTTTATTTGTACAAAGATTTATAAAGAATTTAAGACATTTAGTTTAAATACAGACTGAAATGTACAATAGAAAACTGAATGATATTGCCAATCTGTGACAACTTATTTCCAGCATTTTAATTGATTATTTTATTTTCTATAATTTGATGAAAGTTTATTGTCAACAATGAATTAGGGTTGGTGCACAAGAAATTTTACAACCCCTAAAGGTGACAATAGTTGCCTTAAGTTTTTCGAAAACTGAGAGAGGGGATTACGGTCAAATACAAGGCCATAAGTGGTCAATTTTTGGAAAGTTACGTATGGTGCAGAAAAGTAGAAAGTAAAACTCCATTAATTTCATTTCATTTCGTAAATGAGATACATTTTGTCCATTTAAATAGTAACTAGATGTCGAATCATAATTCTAGAAAGTGGTGCAGGTCGCCAAACGAGTATTCTTAACTTATCAGAACAAATATTTCGACGATTACAACACTTTAAGCACAATAAGTTGTTCAATGAATTGAAGTGTGACAATTACAATCCTCTAAATTATATCTACTTTAATAATTATATGTACTTCAGTTGCTTTCGATAGTTTGATTTAATATAGAAGGGTTTAGTAGCAAGTACAATATATAAGTTATTGGTATATTTTATGAAATAAAGGTCTAAAGATAAGATTCCATATACCGTCATGCGGACCCGTCATGCGTCATTCGTCATGCGTTAAAAATCGAAATGGTTGGTTTAAGAGGGTATGATTCCATATATGCGGAAGCGGTATCCGTCACATGGTCTCCGTCATGCGTCAAAAAAAAAATCGCCGGGTGTAGCGAATTTTGACGCATCCGGATGCCTTTACGCACGGAGATCTCCCAAATGTGGTGTATTTTGTGGGGATTCCCTTTTTTTATGCACCAAAGCATCCATATGTTTGTGCGTCAAAAGAAAGATAACGCATACGTTTAACGCACATATGGAATCATATTTGACGCATGACGGATCCGCAAGGGCCATTTATGTCCGCATGGCGCATCTGCATGACGAGTATATGGAATCTTAGCTTTAGCGTTTAAAGTAAGAATAACTAAAATTGAAGCTGAATTGTGTACTAAATGAAGTTAAATGGTGAGGCATGTTTGAACTAATTTAAACAACCAAAAATATTTATTTTAGGAGACAGACATTTTGAGACCTATGAGAGTCAATACTGTTGAAATACGTGTGATACGTGTACAATAACACGCTTCACTTTCGGTCTGTACTCCGTCAATATTTTGGTTATGTGACCCATTTTGACCCTAACATTAACGAAGAGGGAATTGTGCATGTACGACCATCATTTTCTTTAGTATGTGACAAAGTACCATTAGCACTCTCAAAATATTTATTCAGTTTCCAGTTCCAGTATCTAAATTATCCAAAGTTATACAGGGTGACGCCACCTTATTTTTGTGTGATATAAGCTATCACGGTTATTATCTTTGGTTCTAATTAGTACCGTACTCATTATTTTTTCGTTAAGTCACAGTGAGTTTTGGGTCTTATGTAGTATTTTTTTTTAAAGTCCTTGCAAAAGTTGCCGAAAAAACTCGATAACAGTGACAGACAGAAGGTATATATATTGAAAGGGGTGGTGGGGTTTGGGGGTGATTTGAGACATACATTTATATGTAAATTATCTTCATAATTGCTAAAATGTACGAAACTCGCATAATTCCTTCAAAAATATCTCAAACTAGGAATTTCTTTTCCTATTTCTATGTATGTCAGTGTCTCAAGAAAAGACGCGGATAATTTGTGCCAAACATGGATTTGAAAGCTCAAATTTTGACCGTGAGTTGTGAACACTGTTACTGATTGGCTTAGCTAAAAATTCCCGTTTCTGAGATTAAAGTATCATAGGAAAAAAAAGATGCATCTGTCCCTTTAAAACAGTGCTCAATACATTCTACTTACTCTTGAGGTCTGGAGTCTGGCACCATTCTGTTTAAAGGAATCAAATCACTGGCATAAACATTAACTCGATATCTCTCCATGGCAGCATCAGATTTCTCCTTTTCTGTTGCAACAAACACCACCCCACGTCCCAGTTCTCCCGTTAGTCGTAGGTCATTCTTACCATATTCATTAATCAAGTCCACATTTGGTTTAAATCTCTTAATCTCCCCCTTACCCTCTTCATTGTTAACTTTCCTCCGCACATATAGTTTCCCATAATGTCCTAAATCATAGTTATCATAAACATATATCCTACACAGAACTATTACACCAATTAATATGACTACTGCTGAGGCATAGCGGGTTCGAATCCTCATTGCTCAACACTTAGAGTATCCTGACTCTCACTGGCATATCACCTCTCAACACGCATGTTATATCACATATTCATATGAATTATAATGTTTCACAAAAATGTTGCTTTTCGAATATTGATCAATCCTGAATAGGTTGGAGGTTCTTCCCATTGTGATGAAACGTTGCTCATTCGACCACACACATAATTTTATTTACCAAGTTGTGTGTATTACTGTAGATGTTTCTCATGGAATGCCAATGACGTGTATATACGGCATACTATTTATAATCCGTAATCCAAATATCTGGTTTTTATCTGGAAAACAAAAGAAAATGCCTCATAACATCACATCAATATTCTTCATCAAGTATTCCACACAACATAGAATGGATTTTGTTCGTTAAATGGTCGACATAAATTCATAACATGAATATTGTTTAGCGTTGGGCCTCACTCATATATTACATATCTTTACTTATTCAAGTTTCATTTTTGACAGTTTTCTTCTTTCTACATTGCGATACAATGTGAATTAAAAAATCCGTTAACCACATGTAAGAAATTTACTTTAACCTCACTTAACCACTTTTTGAAGGCGTTGAATATTTGTGTGTGGCTGATCTTGGCTAACACAGGTCACAATACACCCGTTGCTCTTCCGTGTAAATAACTCCCAGTTAGAATTGTTTCGCCGTCTCTTTATCATGTACTGTCAATCTACAGACATACTGCGAGAAAACTAATTTGTCAAGTTTTGAGGTACAAAAAAGCGACCACGATCCACTTTTTGAAATCATAATAGTCATGATTTAATAACCCTATTTACATCATAGAAATCATGAATTAATAACTTTACATAGCATCACGATCGTGATCATGTCCCACTTGTCTGATATGAAAGAATATTGGGTATTATTTTTAATCGCTACATTGCACTATAGTGATTATGATTTGATAACCTTATATTTCACCACAGTGATCATGATTTGATAACCTCACATTTCACCAACAGTGATCATGATTTGATAACCTTACATAGCACCACAGTGATCATGGTGATTTGATAACCTTACATTTCACCAAAGTGATCATGATTTGATAACCTTACATTACACGACAGTCATCATGATTTTATAACCTTACAGTACACCACAGTCATCATGATTTGATAACCTTGCATAACACCATAGTGACCATGTTATTTTATCATTTTGACTTTTATAGGGTTCGTCGATCCCGACCAAACTTTTAACATTGGGTTCGTTTTGCCATGGGCATAAATAACTCAATTTAATTAAATGTTCAGTTAATATATTCATAAATATAAATTTATTAATAGAATTTAACTAATTGTTAATTTTAATATTTTTCTTTAAAAAAAAATATGTGTATCATGGACACTGATAGCATCAATTTGCACCATCAAATCTGTAGTTTTTGACAGAAAATTATAATGGTTCAAATTTATGCTAACAGTGTGACCGATTCACATAATTTTATTTTTTTAGGAAATCTCCTTACAATCCTTTAAATCATTTTACAGTTATTTAATTAAATATAGGACATAACTAAATATATATATTAATTTAAAATCTAGTTTTCAAAAATTTGAGGATATACACCGAAATAAATGTATATTTGAAAATGTTTACTTTAATCAAAATGTGACGAAATTTATTTTAAATCATAATTGCCTGAACGGACTCCAGTTCGGTTCAGCACGTGTTGTATCTATAGAAACCATACATTATTCAGGTTTATCCTGTTTATGTACATATCTTGTATATACATGTACCAATTAATTAATCAGGTCGACAAATATCACGTGACAGCAATATATCCTGACCATAGGCACATGTATACACACTGTATATTGAATTCGATTGAATGTATGATTATTCAATTCTCGATATATCATGTAAATGGTAGAGTAATGACTTATGGGCACTTCATTCAAAATCCTAATATTATATAAATCGAAATAAGAAATACTACCCGCTAATTCGGTAATGGAATTCGGTAATACAATAACATATGTCAAGGTCCCTTTATATTACAACAATATGTTCACCAAATGTAAAAATACCAAATATATTTTATTTTTATTAATCTATTTTTAACATTTTATTTTGAGATCAACTATCTACCATAGATCAGTAATGTATGCCTATTCTAGAGGGGCTGACGGTAAAACTGAGATTAATTTTACATGAACTCTTCCAGTTCGTAATAAAAACGTAAGTAGATTGTAAAATATGCGGTTCCTGTAGATAAAACTACTCTGATGATGAAATTCAGAACTACCTTCCGCTCAGGGGAAATAGTCATGGATATTTATTATATAATTAGATAATGCTGTTTAAAGTGGGATCCATGGTAAAGTTGCGGTGAATTATCCATGCATATCGACACTTTCAGATTTAAAACATCTTTAGTTTTAAACTAAGGTAACTTCAACCACAATAAATTGTACATCGAAAAATCGATTGGGGATACTTATAACTTGTATTTTTACTATTCTGATTTTCTAGCCTTTTGTATGTGTAAAAGAACGTCAAACCCATACCTAAACCAATACGTAATTATATGCACATAACAAAGGAAACACGATGTACACTAAAAATTCTATAGTCAGATTATAAAACTGCACTATTTATTGTCGAGATGATGGGATATTCAGGCATTTGAGGAAACAGACTTTGTTTCCTTTTTCCAAACGAAATTTTGACTGCAAGTCTGTCATTCATGCAAATCTAATGTATCTATTATTAAGTTCCATTCAATTCTGAAGGATTTCGTGCAAATCAATGAAAGTAGCACATTATGATTCGAATTTTGTCCACAATGAAGATAAACCTGTCTTCAAATGAGTACAATTTTATCGGAAACGTTTGTGTATCACTGGCCATTAGTATTGTTGAAAATGTTGAAGCTTCTGTTTATTGATGACTCAATAAATAACAGTGTTGATCTTCAGTGCAGCTTGATGTCTAAATAGTACAGTTATGGTTGCCAAATTGAATATAATATACTCACTTACTAGATGTATAAAAAATTTTCTTATTTCACAATTATCTTATTGAAATATTAAATAATAAGTTGCCTGGAGACATTCCAGAACTTCTATAAATAGACAAATAATCGATATTTACGTCTAGTTCCTATATGCCTGATTATAATCGCGTGCTAGAATCTAATGGAATCGTCTGCTTCTAGTTCCACAAAGTCTCAGTGAGAATACGTGAACTAGTACACATAAATTGTGTGAAAATGTCCTCCAGTAAATGCTTTATATTTGTTCTCATTATTGCATGATGAATTTATACGAAAAAAATGAAATGGAAATTACAATTGCTTTTCTGCGCCATATGTTCTGATATGATAAAATAAAATTTTACAGAACAAGTTTTTTTTTAATGTCAAATGTGCATAACCTGTTGCATACAAGTGTCGTATTAACTTTCAAAAAAAACGACTGCTGTGAAAACTATAAAATAAGCCAAAATAATTCATATTATTTCTAGAAACATCTGGAATTCATCGATTTATATCAGTACCATTTCCTTTTCTTTCCCATCAAGAATAATCTGTATATCAGTAGACAATCAAAGAGCTCACAATAGTATCTGAATAGAGCGCAAAATAGCATTCCTTGGTTGTAAGATAGGTAATGGGTTTTCTCAATCTCTGTAAATAGTCGACCTGATATACACCGACGACTAACATCGGAGTTGACGCTGGGGATATCAAGCGCTCAAATTCCACATTTGTTACTCTACAACGATAATTGGATCTTGTCATCGACCTGAGGCGCTGGAATCTTCTTGGAATCACCCAGTTGATTGCAGTGCTAGTACTCGTTCAGTTTCTGGATATAATCGTGGACTGAACACGATACCACCCAGATGCTTGCAGTGCTGGTACTCGTTAAGTTTCTGGATATATTCTAGACGGAACACAATACCACCCAGTTGATTGCAGTGATGGTACTCGTTCGGTTTCTGGATATAATCGTGGACGGAACACAATACCACCCAGTTGATTGCAGTGCTAGTACTCGTTTGGTTTCTGGATATAATCGTGGACTGAACACGATACCACCCAGTTGATTGCAGTGCTGGTATTCGTTCAGTTTCTGGATATAATCTTGGACTGAACACGATACCACCCAGTTGATTGCAGTGCTGGTACTCGTTCAGTTTCTGGATATAATCATGGACTGAACACGATACCACCCAGTTGATTGCAGTGCTGGTACTCGTTCAGTTTCTGGATATAATCGTGGACTGAACACGATACCACCCAGTTGATTGCAGTGCTGGTACTCGTTCAGTTTCTGGATATAATCGTGGACTGAACACGATACCACCCAGTTGATTGCAGTGCTGGTACTCGTTCAGTTTCTGGATATAATCGTGGACTGAACACGATACCACCCAGTTGATTGCAGTGCTGGTACTCGTTCAGTTTCTGGATATAATCATGGACTGAACACGATACCACCCAGTTGATTGCAGTGCTGGTACTCGTTCAGTTTCTGGATATAATCTTGGACTGAACACGATACCACCCAGTTGATTGCAGTGCTGGTACTCGTTCAGTTTTTAGGATATAATCATGGACTGAACACGATACCACCCAGTTGATTGCAGTGCTGGTACTCGTTCAGTTTCTGGATATAATCGTGGACTGAACACGATACCACCCAGTTGATTGCAGTGCTGGTACTCGTTCAGTTTCTGGATATAATCGTGGACTGAACACGATACCACCCAGTTGATTGCAGTGCTGGTACTCGTT